ATCAGCAGGGTCACTTGCCAGGAACACACTGTATGCGCGCCGAGGTCTGTCAACGGGGGGGGTGAGCATATATATATATATATGTATGAAGAGATATATATTGTACGTATGTGTGCGTGCATGCATGCGCGTATCTATATATCTACGTATAAAAAAACAAACAAAAAATAATATATATATATATATATATTTTAAATATATTGACGCACATATTCATTACGCTTGCACATTTTGGATGTATGATTTGTAGACGTTGCTTTGGTCTCGAAATGGCGCCCAGATGCTAGAATATACGATTTGTTGCCGTTGCTTTGGCCTCGAAGCGGTGCTCCGATGCTAAGATTTACGATTTCTTGCCGTTTCTTTGGTTTTGAAGTGCTGCTCCGATTCTAAATTTGACGATTTGTCGTCGTTGCTTTGGTCTCGAAGTGGTGCCCCAATGCTAAGATGTACGATTTGTTGCCCTCGCTTTGGTCTTGAAGTGGTGCCCCAATACTAAGATGTACCATTTGTTGCCGTTGTTTTTTGTCTCGAATTGGCGCCCCAGTTCTAAGATGTACGATTTCTTGCCGTCGCTTTGAACTTGATCTTGAAGTGGTGCCCCAATGCTAAGATGAACGATTTGTTGCCGTTGCTTTGGTTTCGAAGTGGTGCTTTAATGCTAAGACGTACGATTTGTTGCCGTTGCTTTGGCCTCGAAATGGTACCCCAATTCTAAGATGTACGATGTGTTGCAGTTGCTTTGGTCTCGAAGTTGTGCCCCAATTGTAAGATGCACGGTTTATTGCCGTTGTTTGGTCTCGAAGTCGTGCCCTGATGCTAAGATGTACGAATTGTTGCCGTTGCTTTGGCCTCGAAGTGATGCCCCAATGCTAAGACGCACGATGTGTTGCCGTTGCTTTGGCCTCGAAGTGATGCCCCAATGCTAAGACGCACGATTTGTTGCTGTTGTTTTGGTCTCGGAGTGGTGCCCCAATGCTAAGGTGTACGATTTGTTGCCGTTGCTTTGGTCTGGACGTGGTGCCCCAATGCCAAGATGTACGATTTATTGCAGTTGCTTTGGTCTCGAAGTTGTGCCTCAGTTATAAGATGTACGGTTTATTACCGTTGGTTTGGCCGCGACATTGTGCCCCAATGCTAAGATGTACGATGTGTTGCCGTTGCTTTGGCCTCGAAGTGATGCCCCAATGCTAAGACGCACGATTTTTTGCTGTTGTTTTGGTCTCGGAGTGGTGCCCCAATGCTAAGGTGCAGGATTTGTTGCCGTTGCTTTGGTCTGGACGTGGTGCCCCAATGCTAAGATGTACGATTTATTGCCGTTGCTTTGGCCTCGATGTGGTGCCCCAATGCTAAGATGGGCGATTTGTTGGCGTTGCTTTAGCCTTGAAATGGTGCCCGCAATTCAAAAATGTCCGATTTGATGCCGTTGCTTTGGTCTCGAAGTGTTGCCCCCATACTAAGATGCACGATTTGTTGCCGTTGGCTTGTCGTTGCTTTGGTCTCGAACTGGTGCCCCAATGCTAAGATGTACGATTTATTGCCGTCGCTTTGGTCTTGATCTTGAAATGGTGCCCCAATGCTAAGATGTACGATTTGTTGCCGCTGCTTGGCGAAGTGGAGCCCCAATGCTAAGATAAACGATTTGTTGCCGTCGCTTTGGTCTCGAAGTCGTGCCCTGATGCTGAGATGTACGATTTGTTGCCGTTTTTTTGGCCTCGAAGTAGTGCCCCAATGACAAGATGTGCGATTTGCTGCCGTTGCTGTCCCAATGAAGATGTACGATTTGTTGCCATTGCTTTGGTCTCGAAGTGGTGCCTCTATGCCAAGATAGATGTACGATTTGTTGCCGTTGCTTTGGTCTCGAAATGGTACCCCAATTCTAAGATGTACGATGTGTTGCAGTTGCTTTGGTCTCGAAGTAGTGCCTCGATGCCAGGATGATGGATTTGTTGCCGTTGCTTTGGTCGCGAAATGATGCCTCAATGCTACGATGTACGATTTGTTGCCGTTGCTTTGGCCTCGAAGTGATGCCCCAATGCTAAGACGCACGATTTGTTGCTGTTGTTTTGGTCTCGAAGTGGTGCCCCAATGCTAAGGTGTACGATTTGTTGCCGTTGCTTTGGTCTGGACGTGGTGCCCCAATGTTAAGATGTGCGATTTATTGCCGTTGCTTTAGCCTCGAAGTGGTGCCCCAATGCTAAGATGTGCGATTTGTTGACGTTGCTTTAGCCTCGAAATGGTGCGCCAATGCAAAAATGTCCGATTTGAGGCCGTTGCTTTGGTCTCGAAGTGGTGCCCCCATACTAAGATGCACGATTTGTTGCCGTTGGCTTGTCGTTGCTTTGGTCTCGAAGTGGTGCCCCAATGCTAAGATGTACGATTTATTGCCGTCGCTTGGGTCTTGATCTTGAAGTGGTGCCCCAATGCTGAGATGTACGATTTGTTGCCGCTGCTTGGCGAAGTGGAGCCCCAATGCTAAGATGAACGATTTATTGGCGATGCTTTGGTCTCGACGTGGTGCCCCAATGCTAAGATGAACGATGCCGTGGTACCCCATTTCTAAAGATGTACGATTTGTTACCGTTGTTTTTGTCTCGAAATGGTGCCCCAATTCTAAGATGTACGATTTGTTGCAGTTGCTTTGGTCTCGAAGTGGTGCCTCGATGCCAAGATGAACGATTTGCTGCCGTTGCTTTGGTCGCGAAATGATGCCTCCATGCTAAGATGTACGATTTGTTGCCGTTGCTTTGGTCTCGAAATGGTGCCCCAATGCTACGATGTACGATTCGTTGCCGTTGCTTTGTGGAGGTGGTGCCCTAAACCCTAAAATGTAAGGTTTGTTGCCGTTGCTTTGGCCTGCAGGTGGGGCCCCAGGACCCCAATGCTAAGATGTACGATTTGTTACCATTACTTTAATTTCGAAATGGTGCCCCAATGCTAAGATATGCGATTTGTTGGCGTTGCGTTGGCCTGCAGGTGGTGCCCCAATGCTAAGATAAATAATTTGTTGCCGTTGCTTTGGTCTCGAAGTGGGGCTTTAATGCTAAGACGTACGATTTGTTGCCGTTGCTTTGGCCTCCAAGTGGTGCCCCAATTCAAAGATGCACGATTTATTGCCGTCTCTTTGGTTTCGAAGCGGTGCCCCGATGCTACGATGTACGATTTATTGCCGTCGCTTTGGTGTCGAAGTGGTGCCCCAATACTAAGATATACGATTTGCTGCCGTTGCTTTGGCCTCCAAGTGGTGTCCCAATGCTAAGATGTACGATTTGTTTGCCAATACCAAGATGTACCGATCTGTTGTCGTTGCTTTGGCCTCCAAATAGTGCCCCATTGTTGAGATGTACGATTTGTTGCTGTTGCTTTGGCCTCGAAGTGGTGCCCCAATGCTAAGATGTACGATTTGTTGCCGTTGCTTTGGTCACGAAATGGTGCCCCAATGCTAAGATGTACGATTTGTTGCCGTTGCTTTGTGGAGGTGGTGCCCTAAATCCTAAAATGTACGGTTTGTTGCCGTTGCTTTGGCCTGCAGGTGGGGCCCCAATGACCCCAATTCTAAGATGCACGATTTGTTGCCGTTGCTTTGGTCTCGAAGTGGTGCCTCAATGCTAAGATGTCGGAATTGGTGGCCGTTGCTTGGCCTGGACGTGGTGGCCCAATGCTAAGATGTACGATTTGTTGCCGTTTCTTTGTCCTCGACGTGGTGCCACAATGCTAAGATGTGCGATTTGTTGCGTTGCTTTGGCCTCCAAGTAGTGCCCCAAAGCTAAGATGTACGATTTGTTGCCGTTGCTTTGGTCTCGAAATGGTGCCTCAAAGCTAAGATGTACGATGGGAAAGCCGTTGTTTTGGTCTCGAAATGGTGCCCCAATGCTAAGGTGTACGATTTGTCGCCGTTGCTTTGGCTTTGAAGTGGTGCCCCAATGCCAAGATGTACGATTCGTTGCCGTTACTTTGGCCTCGAAATGGTTCCCCAATGCTAAGGTGTACGATTTGTTGCCGTTGCTGTGGTCTCCCAGTGGTGCCCCAAGGCTAAGATGTGCGATGTGTTGCAGTTGCTTTGGTCTCGAAGTTGTGCCTCAGTTGTAAGATGAACGGTTTATTGCCGTTGACTTGGCCGCGACATTGTGCCCGAATGCTAAGATGTGCGAAATTTTGCCGTTTTTTGGCCTCGAAGTGATGCCCCAATACTAAGACGCACGATTTGTTGCTGTTGTTTTGGTCTCGAAGTGGTGCCCCAATGCCAAGGTGTACGATTTGTTGCCGTTGCTTTGGTCTGGACGTGGTGCCCCAATGCTAAGATGTACGATTTATTGTCGTTGCTTTGGCCTCGAAGTGGTGCCCCAATGCTAAGATGTGCGATTTGTTGACCTGGCTTTATCCTCGAAATGGTGCCCCCAATGCAAAAATGTCCGATTTGATGCCGGTGCTTTGGTCGCGAAGTGGTGCCCCCATACTAAGATGCACGATTTGTTGCCGTTGGCTTGTCGTTGCTTGGGTCTCGAAGTGGTGCCCCAATGCTAAGATGTACGATTTGCTGCCGTCGCTTTGGTCTTGAAGTGGTGCCCCAATGCTAAGATGTACGGTTTGTTGCCGTCGCTTTGGTCTCGAAGTCGTGCCCTGATGCTAAGATGTACGAATTGTTGCCGTCGCTTTGGTCTCGAAGTTGTGCCCTAATGCTGAGATGTACGATTTGTTGCCGTTTCTTTGGCCTCGACATAGTGCCCCAATAACAAGATGTGCGATTTGCTGCCG